ACGTAAAGTGAAAGATATGAAATTTTAGATGGTGATATATGAGAAGTAGGGGCGGTTGTAACCCAATTTTGCCCGTTTTCACAACAAAACACCAGAAAAACAAATAATATCATGTACAAATTTGGTTGAAATTGGTTAAGTAGTTTCTGAGACATAGGATTTCACATTTGGATGACATTGCCACGACTTTGTCCAATTCCGACAACAGTTCCTATGGAACGCTTCCTTATCATAATGGGTGTAAAATTTTAAGTTTCTGACGCATTTACTTATTGAGTTATCACACTTTTAGTAGTTTTCAACATAACCGTTATATGGGCTTTATTCTTTTCATCTGCTTTAACGCATTTTCACCGTACATACCTGAAGAAGAAGCCGAGTGACTTCTTTTCAACAAGTTTGGTTGAAAGAGCTATAGCAGTTTAATATATGCATGAGCCCACTTTTTAAATATTTCCAGTCGAAAGATGCACTTCTCCACCACGATACCTTGTACAAAATATCGGTTGTGTATCTTTGTTTGGGTCTTTATATGTTTTCGCTTAACGGCACTTTGTGGGCGAACAATTGGTTTCAAATCAGACCTTTTATCTATAATATAATATGTCAGTTGTATAGCAGCACAAACTGACATAATGTTGATGCAATATGAACTTCGGTTTTATTATTACTCTCAAGAAAGGATACATTACCTTAAAAGTACTATTCGTGCTCTTTCGATATTTTAATTGATTTTTAATATTGAGAAGTGAAATAATCTGATGGAATTTAAAGTGATATCTTAAAATATAGGAGATAAATGAGGCTATAATACCGTTTGCTCATTTTCAAACTGTATTATAAGTTCTATACAAAATTTGTTCAAATTAATTAAGTAGTTACTGAAATATAAGATTGCTATATTTTCTATGTATATGTTCTATCTGTACCATTAATGCATCTGACGTTTATGTTTCCACTAACTTCTAGGGGATATAGCTTTATAAGCTTAGAAAATGTGCAAATTAATCCTATATAGGACGAAACGGCCTATTTCAAACCATAGATGCTCCTTCGAACTATGGCAATTTTTCAATTAACATGTGTACAAAGTTTTATCGAGATATCTCAATTTTTACAGAATTTTAGCACTAACGGACTGACGGGCGATCGACAAGAATGCGGAAATAAATTCGTCGCGTCATTCTGGTTATTATAATCTCTATAACTATGGCCAATACTTTTCGGTTTTCAGAAACAACCATACAGTTCACATAGAAAACCCTTTTGGATATTCGGAAAGTGCCCAATATATTACATTAATGTAACTTCGAACTTTACGCAGTGTTTTGCCAGTAACTAATGAAGTGGGAATAGTGTATTTTAAGCGATGGTGTAAGAAAGAGTTATAATTAGTCCCATCTATACAACAATGTATTGTCCAAATATGTTAAAATTGCAGTAATTAGCCATTTTTGCATCCTCTCATCAAAAGTGGTATTCTGACTCTCAAAAACCGTAAATAACACAGTAATGTTTAATGGGTTTGCTGTCTGGGTAAGCAGCAGCGGCATCTCTTCATTACGAAAAAGAATCCACAGACTCTTGGTGACCAGTACTACTGGTAGAACCAGAGTCGGAAATGAATTTAATGTTTTTTGTTTTTACCTAATTTCAGCAATTATGATGTCGGCTAGACTAGAGAACAGTGCCGGAGAGATCTGGCTTGTCTGGACAAGGTGGAGCCACCTACGGACCTGCTGAGGAGAGCTCTGGCAGAGGCCAAACGAAAAAGTGCGGGCGTAAAAATTGGTTCGGATGCTATCACCGTCTTGGGAAGCTCGAACATAAATGCGAAAGCCGAGTAACTTTTCGATTTTATATGATAGGGGAACTTCTCCACTTAGGCGGATTGCGCTCAGCAAACTTCCAAAATATAAAATGGGACCTGTATGACACGAAGTTTCAATCAGACACTTTTAATCGTGCCCGATAAGAACCCGATATCGAGGTCGAAACTAACAGAAATCAGATCTTCGGGTAGAAGAAATCATTTAAATGTTTTAAGTCCCCAAGCCTTGAAGATCTAACGCCTTCAACCTGTTGACAAAGTGAAATACCTAGGGCTTGATAGGAAGCTTTTATGGATGACAAATATTGAGGAGAAAGTAAGGCTTCGGTAGCATTATATTGTTATAGAGGAGCTATAGTGAAGAGATTGGGGCTGTCACCAAAGATGGTCTTCTGGCTTTACGAAATTGTAGTCAAGCCAATAATATTTTATGGTGTATTCGGCTGATGGAGGGCGTTCGAAAAGGCTACACTCGCTCAGAAGCTTAAATGAGCCAAACGTTGGCACGTGCATAAAGCTACTTCATGATCAGACTCGTTTGGACGTCAAGTTATAGCGGGACAGAGTTGAGAAGAGGAATGAGCTGGATCTCCGTTGTCATCATGCGTTTTATCACTAGACATATGGACCTTCCGTGCGTTTATACGGTAGAGCTAAAAATCTTGTCGGACACAAGTTGTCAAAGTTGCATGGAAGAAGGTGAGATGAAAACATCCACTGATTTTCTTCTCCATTTTCCAGCCTTTGCTAACGTTGAAACTTATCGGTAGTCTTACTTTCGGTAAACCGAGAGCATAGCCAAAATTGCCAATAGTCGCCTTAACAAATTTGTGACAAGCTCAAAGCGCTTTGTCGATTTATGAGGTTCTTATGATCAATTATATAGGAGTTCTAGATACTAACACGGACTGGCGTTCTAAGCTGTCCACGTGAGATCCCTGTTATTATCGATCTCTTAAACATACCTAAACTAAGCAGTTGTGGTGCACTAAGGAGAAGACCAACAATGGCATTCAATGCTATTCTGCGCGCCGAGATTATATATTAATCAACAGCATTAATTAACTTTCTTATCCGACGTAGGTTTCTGGCCACATCGGATTCGCCGAAAAGTGCAAAGCTGATGAGCTTTATAAAGAGGGCACTTTTACCCAGACTGGGAAGAAGTAATATTTTGTTGTTCTATGGTGCTAAAGTTTTGGATCTATGGACCATGAATCGGTAAGCGCTAGCTAACCAGAACTCGTTCAGTTGCAAAATCCTTCTGGCCTAGAGTGGGACGTTAGATATCCTCTGAACTACTTGTTTTTAGCAAAGTTCATCTTGCCGCAATTATATATGTTCTGACTAATAAGCTTATATCTAAATAATCTTTTCGGACTCTAATAGCCAAAACAGTAGAAGAAAGCGAGGTGAAATCATCTAGGTATTTCTTTTTCTACTCTCCAACTTTTTTTTGAGGTTAAAACGACTTGGTACCTAACCTAGTAATCTTCATACACGAAAGCTTTCTTCCAAAAATTAGCGAAATCGGTACATACCTTTTCTAACAATCATATTCCGAATTTGTAGAAATCCGGGTTTCGGTTGATTTAATACCAAAATGTATCTAAGTATCTGAATATGGAATAATAATTCGGTCAGTGTGACCGAATAGATTCCATTTAAATCTTAGTTTTAATAAAATATCTAAAATATACATATGTTATTAACAGACATAAACGCTTTAAAGTCTGATAGAAGGTCAAGGCGGTGATTTCCGCGTATATTGGGGCTGGGAGAAAATCTTGACTGATTGCATTAATTTCAAGTATATTTGATCACGTTTGCATTTTAGAAAGATAACTCACACACAGAGCCGTATATTCGGTATAGAATCTGCTAAAATAATGAAAATCTTTGTATATAGTATATTCACAGCATTAAATTAATGTATATGCAGTGTTAGTTCACCTAATGATTTAATTGGTGCCTGCATAGTGGACGCTGAAAGCCGAGTCGAGTGCAAAGCTGACGAATGCGAGAAAACAGATTCAAAACTATGCACCTACATTTTCATACGAAAATCACACAGACAGCGTAGAGTAGAAGCTGACCGAAACCGAAGCCGAATGTGATCAATGCGAGAAAACAGTGTTGAAGCGTTTTTCGGCTTCGGTTTCAATTGGTATGGTGGTCTCATATTTTTCTTACAAAGAATTACTATGAATGTGGTAGAACAATATTTAGAATACCCACTATTAATATTTTCAAGGGAAAACTTATGACGGGAACTCCCTTATCCATCATATTTTATTAAATACCCGCTATGAATATTTTCAAGGCCAAATTTATGAGGGGAATTTCCTGATCTAATTAATTACATATATTGTTATAAATAAAATGATATTCGAACTTAGTCCTGTGCGGTTAAAAGAAACTGTTACGAACCGGAAACAAAATAAGTCAAAATAAGGTTACTTTCTTAATATTTTAAATACAATAGAAAAAAATGCAATGTGTATGGGGCATATGAAGGTAAGTTTACAACAAATGAAGTTTGTTTTTGTACAAGATAAAAAACCCAACAGCTTCAATATTTGAATTTTTCACATTAATTTTGAGGTTAAGTGAAAAAGGTTTCAAACAAAAGTTTTAGATCTTTTTATTACCTACAACTTTGTGATAAATATTTTTCTATAGGACTCGTAGTTTTGCAGGAAATTGATATTTTATCTTTCGTTTCCAATGGGTTTCAACTTCATAGTAGAATTTCTTTCAAAGGTTTCTGCACTGGTCTAGTAGTGTTTTTGAGGGCAGTGATTTAATACACATATTTCAGATGAACATACTTAAAGCGACACGCATTTTTTAAAGATATTTATATCTTAGACACTTACTGAACATTTATCACTGTAGCAACATTTAGTAGTCTTATGAAAAAGCTGACGAAATTGTGTTCACATTTAAACCGGCCTTGAATCAACCTTTTTAAAATTTATTGAAGTGTCTTTCCGAATTCTAATTTGCACCAAGAATTTGACATATCCCTTAGAGCTAGTTTATGGTAAGTGGCATTTTGGTAATAACATTTGTTTTGAAATCTTTCCGTCAGTCCGTAATAGGAAGTCTCGTCTTGGAGGCTGAATTAGGGATGTCAAACTCGATTGTAATTCTACTCGAAAATCGATTTTTCTTATAAAATATATACAAATATATATAAATATATTTATTTCCAGTACTTATTATTTATATATTTACAACTAAATATTAGTTTTTTCAATATATTTATTAAAATGGCGCTTAGCGACGTGTGGATTTATTTTAAAACAGTAAACAATGCATCTAATATCCAGTGTAAAAAATGTGCAAAACAGTTGAAATATAATAACAGTGCGATTAAACATTTGAATAAAACACATAAAATCGATTTAACTGTTGCTAATTATAATCGCACTAGAACTAAGAGTAAGAAAAACAGCGTTGTAAATAGTGTGTTTTATTATTTAATAAATTTGAATTACCCGTTCATGGCATTGCGATTATATAAATAAATTTATTAATTGTAAAAATTATTAATCTTTTAAATTAAAATCTTTTTAAATTGAAAGTATCGATTCTTGTGCTCGACCAACAACACCCAACTTGTTGAAAAATTATTTTTAGTCACATTGGGTCAAAAAATATTATTTACTGAGTAGCTTATTTATATGAGTTGTTTTAATGATTGAATAAGACAGCTTTGTTGATTTCTTCACAATAAACATAGAGGTTTAAGAGCGTTGCATAAAGATGTCGAACTATCAAAGGCAGATACCGTTAGTAGCATAGAAGTTTTTTAGTTGGATAATTCCACGAAACACTAAAAGGAATCTGTAATCAGTATATTTATTATACACAAATGCAGTTTCAAACTAACGGTTGTTACTACATCAAGGCAGGCATTTGCTCTTTGACAGCTAGTAACGCGAGCCATTTGTGGTATTGATTTTCAGGTGGCACTGTGGATGCTGAAATAGTAAAACACGAAAAGCAAAGCCAAATTGTAATCAGCAACACCAGCAGCAGAGAAAATTGCACAACTGATTTTTTACTTGCTTTTCCTGTGTTCGCCGCTCTACAGAGAACAGCGGTGGCGAAACCAACCTGTCATTGCAGCTGACAGCGATCAGCACCCCAACATCTGCAACAATAACAAAAATAACAACATGATTAACAACGCCAACAGCGGCACAACAACAGCAAGAACAGTGAGAATATTTTCAATGCCCAGCTTTTTCACATTTTCAATGATGTGAAATGAAATTATTTAATTACTCAAGCTCAAGAATGACAGCAGCAGCGGGAGCAACAGCTTCAACAACAAGAACAGCTGACAACATTGCTGATTCAGCAATGCTACGCAATGAAAGCGAAGAACAAATGCTGCCAAGAGCAGAAATTTCAACTAGGACAAAGGGAAATGCAGACTGAATGATTTCGTTACGAGTAATGTTGTTGTGTTTTCCTCTCCCGTCAACGACAAATACCATACTTTTCTATTATAAATCTCTGGGTAGGGAATGCTTTAATCGAATATGGGAAGGGAATTATCAAAAATGGATAACTTAGCCCTAAGGTAGTGAATGCCACAAAGAATGCTTTTAATGGAAGATCAAATGAAATTGTTCCAAAAAAAAAAAAAAATACTAAGGATAAGAGAATCACCAAGTCCGGGTATAGTTTTGAGGTGTAAAAAATTATCATATACTAAGTTTTCAAATTCATCTTATTAGTGCTGTCCAAATATTCTGCTTCCATTTTATGGAGATATTTCGCATTTACACCATTATATGCCGTCTAAGGTCAATCAAAGTGAATTTATTCAAAATATTGGTAAAGTGAAAAAACTGTTTTCATCTAGTTTTGACTTCAAACCACTTTAACATATGTTCATTTACTATTCTCAACTACGCACAGTGGACGAAATGACCAATCTGGCATGGATTAATTAAAATTTTCAATTTTTAAATTGCGTTTTCTTTTTTTTAATATTCGATGGACAATACATTACTCCAACTCTTAACAATTTTTGTTTTGTTTTTTCTTTATATTCGCACAGCTGCAAGCTTTCAAAGTTGACGTATGGCGCGACAAGTGTATGCATACATTTTCCCGCCTTTTTTCGGAAACAAGTGAATATTTGGAAAATATATAACTATGTTAAATTTTTGGTGATATTAGTGTTTTAATTGAAAGAAGCAGGTATGTATTTTCGTAATAAACTGTTCCTGTGCATTTTGCGTATTTGTGGTCATGTTGATTCGGCCGTAAAGTCAATCTTTTAGATAATGTGCAATATTTTGTGTTCGCCGGTCTTCCATGGCGGTTAAGCTAATTCGTGCGGATTCGCGTTAGTGATTGTTTGTTTTGTTTATATTCTCTATTATGACTGTTGAATATGTAAAATTGTCTTCTAGTTTTTCGAAGATTTAAAGATTTTGCTCTTTTTAGTTAAAATTTCATGCTCAAAACGCACCCTGTTTTTAATCTGGCGCAATGAAATAGTACAAACAAAGAAGTTTTCCGCAGTTAAAAACTATGTTTTGAATGAAATTATTGGTGAAGGTTAATATCAAAACCGATGAAATCAATAAAATAAAAAAGCAATTACGAAATTTTGTGAGCAAACTGGTAGAAAAATGGAGAACTAGCCATGGAATATTAGCAGTATTTGATGAGCAAAAAAAAGGAGTGGTTGGAAGGAACTTTTATACTCTCTGACCCAAAAGTAAATATGTCACCTGGACGTCCAGTTTAATTTATGGAGCAGATGCAAGACGGACACTGAAGTACAAAAGGTTGGCGCAATTGTTGATGTAAATGCATGTAAAGAGTTGATGGTGGCCGCCAGCGTTAGTCTATACAACAAGGGAAATAGTAGTGCTTCGCAATTCGTTTCGATGGTTGGTTCTAATCCAGAAGTGTCATCAAAAATTTTAAAAATTGTCGAATGTGATACTGAAGTTCCTATTTCCTAACCCCACAATGGTTTCCGTAGCAACTGACGTAGACGTCAATTTGATTTGAAGGTTTAGCGTAATTTTGCGCACTATGGGCCTGTAGATATCCAGTCAATACGGAAGCTTTTCGCACTTACACATGGAAATCTAGAGACTGTTAGCACTGGTCCTGTATGCCTCCACCTGTCCGTGAAATTTTAATTCATGTAGCAGATATAATAGAAAATCTATGACTTTCAATTGGGATGATATTAGAGGAGTCTCTAGAGGCGCGCACAAAAGATTTTCGTTACTTCCGACAGCATCACACCCGAAAATTTTTTAGATTGACTAACATACAATGGAATCTCATCCAAATTTACGACATTATCAAAATTTGCAAAAATAAATATTAAATTGTAAGAAAAGGTGGAACTGTTAATTGTTAATATTCTCTGAGCTGTTACATTCAGGTGAAAATGACCGCTCATGCAATTGTCCTCACGATACTTCTGGCTCCGACTAAGTTTTTTTAAAGCCGTGAGCGTGAATTATTAGTAAACAAAATTTTATTCATATTCTTTTAAAATTTTTAAGGAAATTTGTTCATTTAATTTTATTAAAGAAGCAAACATTTTGTCAGGTGGAAAGTCGAAAATTATTATATAGGCTATATTGAGGACAGAGAAAGGGATGGGCTAACTGAGTTAATTTTGACATTGCTGAGGTATACTTACGATCATATTTTCAAACAATTTTATAAATATATAACTCACACTTTGAACAACATGTTCGGTAAAGGTTTGTTAGAATAACGAAAATCAATATATGTAGTATTTGGGAGTTGGGGTAATTCGTGGACTAAATTCACATATTTTCGGCATTAAACTATAGTATATCCAATATTAATCAGTTAATTTTGCTAAGATATCTTACATATAGACTGATATTATAGATATGACATAAGGCCAACTGAAAGTTTGAAAATCTTATGTTAGGTATATGAGAGATGGGGGTAGTATTGACCCGAATATATCTATTTTTGGCAACACAACATATTATTAACAGAATAAAATGCTCCCTGAGTTTCATTAAAGTTCCTTACATACCGCCACAAACATATATGGAGTAAAATCCACCCGATGTTAGAAAATTCTGTGGCTAGTTATATAAGACAAGATATGCAATTTTAGGTACAAAACACGCTCTTTCATTTTCATTGAGATAACTCGCATATTGGCCGACATATGCGGTATAAAGTAAACCAGAAGTTCGAAAATACCATATTTCGATAAGGTATATGGGGGCTAATGGAAATATTGACCCGAGTCAACAAATAGAATTTAAAATTGTGTTACATGGGAATTAGGCGTGGTTGTGATCTGATTTCTTCCATTCGCACTAAAACATGGGAATATTGTATGAATGTTATGTTATGAAGTTGGTTGAAATCGGTCGAGCAAGTCCCGAGATATAAGATTTTACCTAAAAGTAGGCGGTACCATCCCTCCGTCCAATTTTGATACCGAACATACTTTTTTGCAAAGGAACATGTGTACCAAGTTTCACTAAGATATCTTAATTTTTACTTAAGTTGCAGCTGCACAGACATACGGACGGACGGACAAACATCCGGATTTCAACTCGCCTCGTCATATTAATATTTTATATATACATAACCCTATATCTATCTCGATTAGTTTTAAGTGATACAAACAACCATTAGAAAGCAAAACTATTTTACTCTGTAGCAAGAGTATAAAAAAAAAACAGGTTAACTAGCCACGGTGTTTAAGAGCACACGGATCAAAACAATGCCGTTATCAGCGCCCTAAATAATGCATGATTTTAAAACATCCGGTTGATTTTATGCCGTATATATTGGTGATGGTATGTGAGGCGCCTTAATAAAACTCATAGATCATATTTTTTTGTTAATAATATGTAGTAGTGCATAGATAAGATCCCCATAAACCTAAAAAAAGATTTTTAAACTTCCAGTTGGATTTATAACGTGTATATTGGTCAATAAAATATGTAAAATTGGTCCAGAATCACCCCAACTTCCATATACTATGTACATATAATAATATTCGTTACCAAACCTTATGTCGAATATGACGTTTGCCCCTGACTATATTTCTCTGGCTTTGGTATTTTTTCCAAAAGGTTTGTGAAATAAAAAGAATTCTTAAAACAGAGGTCTTGGGGATTATAGGAACATCGAAAATATTTTGCAGTGCTCGAAATACTTTTTTGTTTGTTTTAAAAGTGACGGTGGCAATTCCATTGTCACCTAGCTACGTGGATAATAATTGCTAAAATTCATAATTGCAAAATTTAACACTTCGAAATTTCCAGCATATTTTATATACATTGAAGTTTTGTTAGCTATCAACCTAGCTATATACAATATATATATTCTTATGTATATCTTCCAATATATGCATGTATTTGAATAACCTATTGATTAATTTGAATGTTAATGTAACATTATGCACATAGTAGGTCTTTACAAAATGGAGAATGTAGCTGACATTCAGTTTTTTACTGCTTCGATAGCTTTGTATAAAGGTCCCACAGGTATTTTACTGGTGAAATGCTGGCATTTGACAGAAATCTGAAATTGCGCACAATTTCCATTGGGTTCAATGACAAAAATTGAAAACTGTGCACTGCACAAAATCAAAGGCAATCAATGTCAGTTACAGGTATTGACTGAATTGCCAGACCGCATAAACTCATTTACGCAAAACACCCACACCATGTGCAACAATGTCATAACGCACTTGTGGCATAAATTTTGGAAAGCTTAGTCGAAAGAGTGGTACACTAATGGTACACGAACTAGAGCTATTTTGAAATTGCTTTAGTGTAATTTGAAGAGAAATAAACTTATCGGTAAAATATATCTACGTTGTTAAGTTGTGAAAAAAACATTTCTATTATAAACATATAGTCTATAAATAAACATTGATTTTATCGAGGGCAACTTTTACATTCCAATTTTAAAGTAAAATGGGTCTTTTGCTCCGAAATCGCCTCATTCATCGTCTTCGGGGCTCCTATGGTCTATACGGAATTCGCCTCACACAAAGCCCGGAAAACAATCGTCAAGAGATTTCTTGGTATCAACATTTCTTCAAAAGTAGTTGAGAAAGCAACCAATTTTCTGTCAAAGAGGTTAAAAGGCCCGGCAGTATGGGAAACACAGATTACATTCCAAAGTCCGCATTTAAGAAACATCTGATATACTAATGTTTGTTGTTTTTACTTCTTACGGAGTATATTCGGAGCTTTATGATATTCTGGGAATTGTCATTGAATTGGAGAAAAATTAATATACCATTTTTTGGAGCAAATGTATTGAGGAATAATAAATTAACTTGATGATAAAAATAATATTTTTTTGGCATGAAATATAGTTAACTATTCTTTTTTTGATCCACTGTCAGGATATTTGCAAATTAGTTTATGTAGTACATTCGATTACAGTCGTGAATATGGCTTATGTACTTATGCACATATTGTATAGATTTGCATTAGTAGTAATGCATGTAGTGATTCTATCAATTTCTCGCAAAACCATCGTGTACTAATTTGTGACACAAAGAGAAAAACAAATAGAAATTCAATTGCCTTTAGCCGCAGCCTCGACAAAGTTAAATTTAGTTTGCTGTCAGGTGGTTATAGTAAGAACATAAAACGGTAAAAGTGCCTGGAGAACTGTGGAGAAATATGCAACTGGAAAAGCTAATGGAATGCCTAGACTGCCTCATGAGACTCTCGACTACAATACTCAGGTGTTATACCCACTTTGTTACGCAAATGGAAAAGAGCACTTAAGCAAACTGGTAACAATACAAAATCCAGTTCTTCAATTAATAAATCCAAACCAATAAAATAATTAAGTTATTGAAAAGTTTTAAGAATAATACAGATGTTTAAGGTATTTAATTGCAGAAATTGGGTTTAACGGTTGTTTTTTTCACCTGTCTGTCCATTCGTCCGTCTCTGTCTGTGCAAGCTGTAACTTGAGTAAAATATTTCATGTCGTCATGAAACTTCGTACACGTGTTTTTGGTCGAATTGCTGAGGACGGTATGAGCGTAATCGGATCATTGCCAAGCCAACAATATGTAATTATGCGAAAACTTATAAAAAGCTATAACTAAGCTCCAAATTAAGATACTCAACTGGAATATAGTACAGTCGCAGAGATGAGCTAAATAATTTGAAAATTACAGATTTCTGTTCTGATAACAGTATGCCTATATGTAAAAAGGGGTTGATAGAATCTATACTTCCCTTATCACCCATATACTACCTAATATAAAGATTTTCGAACTTTTAGTTGGCTTTATACAGTATATGTAAATCGTTAGCAAAATTAATTGAGCGTATAATATGGGATTTACTATAGTCTAATGCGAAAATATGTGAATTTAGTCTACGAAGTTGGCGTATTCCATATAATGATTTTATTATATTTTATTCTAACAAACCTTTTGCCAAAGATGTTGATCAGTGTATGATTTATTTATAAAATTGCTTGTATTTTATTTTTCATTTGTATGTTTTCAAGTACCTAGCAATCAAAACTTAATGCAATCAGTCCAGACCTTTCTTTGCCCGAATATAATGATTTCCGACTTTCCACTTGAATTTAAACCGGTTAGGTTTTTTAAATTGTGTGATATTTCAACGGAATTAAGTGGACAAGGATTCTTAAAAATTATGAGGCTTAACACTGATTGAAATCGATCTAATTGATTATCTCCGTAATATAATGAATTCCAATGTTTTAGTTAACGTTTTCCACATTAACTCAATATCTTCAATTTAACCTCTTCAGATGAATTTATTTCAGATAGATCTCATTTCAGCATGAAATAAAATAAGTGAGTCTATGACCTTCAATATAAAATAGCCAATATTTTAATTCATTCACGATTTCGCCAAACAATGAAATTGAGCCCTTTCGCTATAATTCCCACAACAGCCGGTTCTACGTTAGCGGAATCGACCCGGATTTGATCCGGTCAAGGGCTGTTATTTCGGCGTTCTAACCCTGTTTGGAATGGTAAGTATTAGTTTAAGTTTGTCGTCATTAGAGCAACGCCTAGTAGCAGGGTTGCTCCGTATCCTTCTGACCCGTGCTGGCATCAAGTCTAACCCGGGCCCCGAGGAATTCTTCTGCTGCATTTGCACTAAAAGGCTCCATCCAAACTCCACCTCGGTTAGACGCAACACATGCAATGGATGGAGCCATCTTAAGACCTGCTCAGGCCTTAAGAAAGATCCATAGGGAGTGGACCACGAGTAACGTGGCCCCATGCTGCACTACTGCGACACCTGCCTCAACGGCTGTGCAACCTGCACCATGTTCGCGGCCCAAAGGAGCTCACACAGGCAGCATGACGCCCAGTCTGACACAATGAATGACAAAGCCCTCACCAGAACTATGGACATCTGTAATAAATCGCCAGATATTACCATCGCTTCCGGTGGTCTGATAAATAGCATAACTTGGCGATATATGCTAA